CAAGTGGTGCATATTTCCCACCTATCTGTAGCTAAGAACTGCTTAATTTGCATATCAGTTTGACATTGATGCCTAAGAGAACTTATTGTGGAATAAGAAATAAATCAGCACAAAGAATAAATCAGTTATTACCTCCTCCTCTCTCTTCTTTTCTGCTTCCTCAAAAGCAGCCTTTTCCGCCTGCATAATCAAGATAATGTAAGATACTAAGACTCAACATTTCTACTACGATTCACGTAAGGGAACTACATACATCCTTCTGCTTTCCCCATGTTTCTTCAGCAATTGCCTTGGCATACTCTGGATCGTCGCATATGACAATATTGTCAAACAAGGTTCCAGATTTCACCTGCAAAATATATTACACTTTCAGTCAAAAAGATGCCATGGAGGAATAAGTGCATATACAGTAAATCAAACTGCTACTGGGAGTACAGCCAGATAACACAAGAAAAGGAAACTTTCTTACTTGCCACAGTTCAACTCCCACATACTTCAGATTTGGGAAAACATAGAGATCTGGGTCATCCTTGAAGTCTACAGATTAAAACAAACATAGATATTAATAATTATGATATTAAATTCCTCATAAAAAATACACAAATGTTGTATAGACAACTGAAAGAACCTGGGTTGTCAATCAAAGGAGCCTTCCACTTCCCCTTGTAGTTGGGGTTCTTAATTTTCTGAAAAAATGAATGACTAAGCATTAGGTATCATACTCTGGCATAAGTCATTCAGCTTAAATGTGTTGACTCCACAAACCTTTGGCTTCCATGGGCCCTTGTACTCGGGGTTGGGAATGGTTGGGGCTGTCCATTCACCATCTTCTTGATCATCCCAGTCCTCTGGCTGCAAATATAAAAATCCATCAGAAATTAAAATATTTTACTCTAATTCCAAACTTGTATAAGCAAATCTCAACTGGTTAGTGGTTACCTTCTTGGCATCAGGATCAGTTATCTCTTCTGGAATGTCATCATAGCCCTGCATTTATAGAAATTGAATTTGTTGATTGTCATCTTCCTCTAATTTCAAATTATGGCAAAGACAAACCCACAAACAAATTAAGAAGGATACCTCTGGCTTCTTATCCTCAGGATCATCAATGAATTCCTTCTCATCCCAATCTTCAGGCTGCCATAAACATGTAGCTTGATCATTAACACCACAAAAAAGATAAACATCAATTGACCATGAAAATGTGATTTACTGTTAATTACCTTCTTGGCACTTGGATCCTTGATTGTCTTTGGTGGGAGAAGGTCCCAATCAGAGTACAAGCTACCAGACTGTTTCTCCACATTATCAATGAGAATGCTGTATGTAGCATCAGGGCGGAGGATGAAAGTGTAGACATGGGTCAGTTGATCAGTCTCACAAGGTACTTCCTTCTTGATCAAGTGGTTTGTGTCATTATAAGTGAGAATAGCATGGACCTTCTTGGTGCTGTAGCCACAGATGTCTGGGCCAAACATGATGCTGTATGGAAAACATATATCAAAAAGTAAATTCATCTGAATGACAACACATTTTTCAAAGGAAAAAAATACTTCAAGTAGCAAGAAAATAAGATGTGTTACCTGTAGGGAGTGTCACCACCGAATTTCTTTTGGTCAACGTCCCCACTAAGCAACTTCATGTACCCACCACCACAGTCAAGCTTCTGCTCATGCTTCACAGAGAACTGGAACACTAAGTTTTTTCCCTTGTTGCTAAATTCAGGGAACTCAGCTGAGATGGCATAGANAATGGCAAAGAACCTGTAGTCTTCACTGGTTTGGATACCTGCCGCAGTGCAGAAACAAATAAGAGTTAGTTAAATATATCATTATTCAGCTCCTGTTAACTAGATTTAGATATCAAAAGGTTTATAGTTTGAATAAATCACGGACCTTTGTCATTAGCGTCTCCATTCCACTTGCCAGATGTGTGATTCCACTCTCCAGCCATGTTTTCATCTTTCTTCCATTCAGATTTCACCCACCTGCTTTCCCAACCATCTAAAAGTTCAAGAAGAAAACCTTATTAGCCCCAGTGCTAAAAATCGAATAATAACTTGAACCATTTATACTTGGCAATTTGCATTGTAGCAGAGCAGACCACAGAATATCAGCATACAAGCATTGACTTCACACTAATTAAGTAACTTAATGCAACACTAAAATGTATTCAGGATCGAACAGTAAGTATTGATTGCTATTCAGCCAAACATTTAGTTAATTGATGCTAACTATTTTGATTGCAGACTCAACAAACATATACACATCAACCATATGCAGTAGACTGGCCAACTAAAGTCAAGACCGTATATGGCGCACTAATTATAATACAGAAAAGTCAAGAATTAATTTGATCCATTTATTACTAATAATCATGTTTGTGTTCCAATATTTATTCTGTATAACATTATATAAAGATCTAATATTAGTTATGCGGAGCTTTAAGCCATGATTTTTTAATAATACAGAAAACCGGATGAGATCTAACAATTACGAATTTAGTTCGTTTACATGAATAAACTTCCAATTTCATCACATGCCACCAGACGAACAAAAGCACAAAATGCAACGTACATTTCCGTGAGAAAAGCTACAGATACCCGATAGCAATCAGATTAAGTATCATTCAATAAATCAAGTAATAATCACAAATATAAAATGCAAAAAACTTAACACGTGAAAAAAAAAACATTCCGATCTACTCCTATCACCTTAAAATTCACAGATCTACCTCGAAATTTCAAGCTCCTCTCAGATCACACTAAAACCCCCAATTAAATTCGGATTTTCACCCTCCAAATCAAATGTAGTACCAAAATTCATTCAAATGATAGCGATCAATTAAAGTGACGAAAAGAGAGAGAATGAAGAAAATTACCGTTGAAACTCTCCTCGAAGAAGACCTCAGCGGAGACGACAGCGACAAGCAGAGAGAATACAGTAATTAGATGGAGAGAGCTAGGGTTTGCCCTTCGTTGAGTAGCCATGGCCACTGTTGTGAGATCGAAATACTGACTCTAAAAGATCTCTGATGAGTGCTCTTTTATACTGGCGAGAGGATTTTGGTAGATACGTAGGGCAGCGTTTGGTCTTAGTCCGACGTGTCTACGTTCGATGACGTGGACGAATTAAAAAGAGGCATTTGTAATTAGAGTGTCATTGACTTGACGTGGCTGAAGCTTGTTGGGTATCTCCACGAGTTGAAAGTGACCACAATTAAGTTGGCACTTGTGCGATGGTTTTTTCAAAATAACGAATTTAGCCATTGGTTTTTTGCTCTCTTTTTTCTTTCACATGAATTTCGCATACAATGGCGTGCATATAACGATTCTATTAATCTTAGAATTTATTGTTTATTAAAAGAATAATTAGCACTTGTACAATCAAAATGATTTTATTCTTTCTGTTTTTCTATTTGCCTTTTGAGATTGAAGCTAAAAAAAGGGTGAATTCCTAAAAAGTCAATTAACCTAAATAGTTGTTAACCCAACTTCTTCAATTAAAAATAACTTTTGGAGGTATAAAATAAGTATAGTACATGTATAATAATTATATAGTGTATACATAATAAAAGTAAACAATGAATCTATTCGGTTATTTACGTAAAGATCCTTTAGAAGAACCCCAAAGTTATTTACTTTTTCACATTGTTTTTTGTGGAAATTGCAAAAATTTGTAGGTGGATGAGTTCCTGCTATTTATTCATCATGTGCCTTTACAATTTATAATTTAAGAAAACGATCTTTTTTACATATCTTATGTGTAAAACACAGATTTAATATGTGTAAAAATAAATTTTTCATATATAAAAAAAAAATAGGATCATAAAATTAAAACTAAGTTTGTAAAGAGCCATAAAATCAATTGATCCGATGAATTCAGACTAAAGTAGCTAATCAAAGAAAAGGAATCTTTATATTTTTAACAGTGAAGACTCTCTTTGCCAACATCAATTGCTGCAAAAGTTTGGTCAACAACTAAAAATAAAAACGTTACGTCTGAAAATATTTCTGATATAAAAGAAGATATTTCAACCATAAAAGTCAATCTATTTGCTTCCATGGATATTTCAAACGTTACGTCTGAAAATATTGTAGCTGATTCGTAGACTTCGAAAACGTCGAAAGTACATAAAGCTAAAGCATGTAGAACTCGTTCACGAATACAAAACTTGTCATTCTACAATATTGCTTCCATGGATATTACTTCTTCTCATTTCATTTCCTTTTTGGTTGCTTTTTCTTTTGTCCTCCGTCAACAAATGGAAAAGGATCCCATTAGTGGAAAAATTATAATTAAAAAATCGAGTGCTAATCGGATCCAACTGTACAACAAAGTGTGACATGCATGATGTTAACAAGCACATTTTTGTCAATTGAATCCTTTATTGTTTTTTTTTTAATATTGTTAGTGTTCGAGTTAATTTAATTTTACAAAAGGTTTTTTACTCTGATTGAGATTTCTGATTTACTAAGGTGCCTTCTAAATTAATTAACACATTGTGCAGTCGATCTCATTACAAGCAAATGTGTGGTGCAAAATGGTTAGTGAAAATAAAAACCACAAAATGAAACTCTAGAAAGTTCTCAGATTAAAACCATACACCAACCATGTGGGTGGTTTCTGACGTCATATAATTATTAAAATAAAGCATGCCTGCAGAATTCTCATGGTATATACAGTATATGTAACCTTTGGAGGAAAGCAACAACTTTCGGGTGGAATTATTAAGTAGGCGTTTGGATATAAAAATTACTATAATTTTTGAAAAAACTAGTATTTAGAGTTAAATTGAAAAATAATATTTAAAATTTAAAATTATGTTTAGACATGCATTTTACTTGAAAAAACATTGCAGTTTTGTGAGTGAAAAAAATTAAAATTTTGAAATACTCATTTTTGAATTTTTTTCAAAAAGTTACAAAATTTCATAGACAAACGAGGGCTAAATAAGTCATCCTTAATCAAGATCCAATTTCTTGTCCATTTTAATTTTTTTAAGAAAGAGGGGTCGAGTGATTCGGTCCATATCCGATCATGTGGCTGAATTAACGGGAAGGTACAACTTCATTTTAGTTCTTTACCATTTTTGCATAAGTACGAGTGAGGTCCCCACATAATTGATTTTATTTTATTATCCAAAATGAATAAATCGAAAGTGAGCCGGCACTTGTCTTTCTTTTTCTTTGCAGATTATTGAATAAATGGATGCTTGATTTGGAAGACATCAATTTCAGCCACTCATATAAGCTAGGTTTGTTATGATTATAGTAATACCGATTCAAGTCAGGAAATTATATCGCACGCAAGTATGGGAAAAACTTACCGATATAAGTGTTTTTAACGCTACAATTAAGCAATTTGAGATAAAATTCTATACTAATTAATCGTCGTTAAGTAATAAAAGTGCCTAAACAAAGGAAGAAAATCCCCCCCCCCCCCCTTTCAAATTAAAACTATAGGCATATTTCCTTTCCTATCCTTAACAATGCATACTTTCCCTTAAAATTATCATTCCCTTCCTTAATCTTTACGTGATAGATTATCTAATATTTTAATTCCTTTTTTGGTTTCACTTTATTAATAGTTCAAAAATGAGGACATCTCTCTGTTCCAAATTTTAACTGGTTATTTTATAAATGCAATGTATTTGCCAGTGTTGGAATTATTCATAATGCAAAGTCAAAAAAATTCTTTATATATANTAAAAAAAAAATAAAATTCAATCACTATACTAATATTTTCTAACTGAAATTTTTTATTTGGAAAGTAAAGAATTTTGATATCAATAGTATTTGGATTCCTTTTCTAATATCGAGTGAGAAGAATATATCCTACCGTAATCTAATGTGCAATTTTATTTTATTTTAAAAATTCAATATTTTTTAATGAGTTGAAGAATATATTTTAAGGTTTTAACCTAAAGTTCAGAATGTGGATATATTCAATAATTTATTTATTTCATAATGGATAATCTAAAGTATCTATTTTAGACTAAGTTTTCTGAATTTTAAACAAGTATACAATAAAAATAATTTTTTTAAAGGCTACAAGCTTCAACAAAAATAATAATAACTAAAAGTTTAATAATAAAAATACCATAATATTTTGGTGAAGTACTATATAGTTTGATCATATGCACTTTTATTTTTGTCTATTATTGAATAAAACACTAAATGAAAAAATTAAATAAAATATCATACTTACTAGGGTAAATAATTTAGAAAGAGGGGGATAAAGATAGTGTGAGAGAATTTATACATTGAATTAATTTAAATGATAAAATAAAACAAATAAATAACCAATACTCAAAATATCTATCTATATATATATATATATATATGGTAATTAATTTCCTTTATATTAATCACCAAAGTGAGATCATTACAAAACTATAATCAGCATCAAACTCTACTGATTATCTCAACTAAAACATAGTATCCTTAATCTACTTCAAAGGACTATACAAGTTGATCCTTAATCAAACTCTATACTAATAAGTAATTGTGTAATTGACTTCTAGCTTTAGGTTCCACTCTAATATTACAAATATAGGCTATCTCTCGAACTATACTATCACATTGACGATATCTTTTTTCAAAGATACAATTATTTCTTTCCATCCATATTACATAGGATGTTTCTGTGAATACCAATCTGCAAATACTGGCATGTCTGGATTTCCTTTTTGCTTTCTTGATGATCCATTGCAGACGATGTTGCCAATTGTTGTAGCTTCCTTGATCCTCCTGAATCCATTTCCATATTCTACTTCATAACTCTGTTGTATAAGGACAATGCAGAAACAGATGATCTCTTGTTTCTAGTTGTCCCTAACATAAGACACAACTTTGATCAATGGTCACTCCCCGGTTTGCTATTCTATCTCTGGTAGGAAATCTTCCATGTAACATTAACCATAAGCTGAAGATAGCCTTTGGTCTAGCAGAATTCTGAAATACTAAGCTCTTCCAACTCATTCTTGGTAAGTCTCCCAGTAGTTGCAGATATATATGTTTGATAGTCTCTTTGTTACCTCTTGAGCACTGAGTTTGTTGTAGGACATCTCTGGCAGCAATTATTCTTCGAACCATCCAACTAGCTTGCTTTGGGATAGGCATAGTTTGAATCTGTTGATGTTTGATGTAGTAGGCATTGATCCACCTAATCCACAACTTGTCTTCTTTATGAGCTAAATCCCAGCATATCTTAGCAATTGCATCTTTGTTCCAGATCAGCAAGTTAATGATATTCATATCTCCAGTCGACTTTGGAGTACACATTTTGTCCCATGCCACATAGCTCTTTCTGGTAATAGTATTAGTACCAGACCATATGTAGCTTCTACACTGTCACACCTCCTTTTTCACCTACACCCCCGCTAAGGGGCGTAAAGAGAGTTTTTCCAATTAAAGGACAATCGAAACGGAATTTTATTTAAAGATTCAGAGTCGCCACTTGGGAGATTTGTGGTGTCCCAAGTCACTGGTTGAATTCCGAATCGAGGAAAAGAATGACTCTGTATTACAGTCCGCGCACCAGAAATCCGAGTAAGAAATTCTGTTAACCCGGGAGAAGGTGTTAGGCATTCCCGAGTTCCGTGGTTCTAGCACGGTCGCTCAACTGTCATTTTTGGCGTAAATTATCTGATTTTAACAATTATGAGTCTATGTACAAATTTTAACTTTGAACCGCTTCTATCAAATTTATTATTATTGTTATTGTTTTATGGAGAATTGCAACGTTATGAAAACGTATCTCGAACCACGTCACAGTCAATGTACCCATGGTTATCGACACATTTCGACTCCGTTGAGATTTGGATTTGGGTCACATAAATGTGCACCCGAGTTTGAGAAGATAAATTTAAAGGCGTGCCCTAAAGAGACTAATGCGTTATTATTTTGGGAAAGGCCGTGAAATTCACTAAAACAGCCCATCCCGAAGTCTAAAAATTAGTACAATATTTATTGAGGGCCCCGCAATTTATAGTTTATTCGGCGAGGCTCATCTCATTTTTATTT